TGTCTGACAAAGCAGCAGCTCTCATTTACAGTCGTCTCGTTCGGCTCGGTATATTTCTCCTCAGTAGGGTTGTTTACAGCATATGCCATTTCTGGTTAGCTTCTTAGCTTAGCCTCTGTCACAGACATATGTCRCAGCTAACTGATCCAATCATTTTAAACTTCAGCAGAGGCCACGCCTCCTGCAAGAAAGGCTTCTCTACACATCAAGTCCAGACCCTTGTACGAAGCAAAGTGACGGACAGGGTCTGGTTTAAACCAGGCTAATAAAACATGTAAAAAAATGCCATGTCTTCTCCTGTTTGGAGACAAAGCTGATTCAGAGTCAGGTTAGGTTTGACAGGCAGAGTGAGGTGACATTTTCAAATCGTTATTGCGTGTTAGCACAGCTGTATTTCTTGGTACACAATCTGTTCCGGACAGAGGCAGATATGATCCTCAGTTGTCATTTTCTCCACACTCACTGCCACATAACACACCTGATTTCACAGAACTTCAAATCTGAATGGAAAGGTGAAAACACCTTTTATAATACAAGTAATGGTGAGGGGGAGGGAATGGGGGGGTGTGGGTATCACACAAGATCGAGACAGAGGTAAACATTCAGATTTTCTCTATTGACTCCCTCCAGTTTTTGTTTTGTTTTGTATCAGTTTGTTCTCAGCACTGATCGTTGTCCGTCCTCAGAATGTGACCATCCTGTACTCTGTGTTGTATGTCTGCTGAAGCCTTGTCTCTTATCTGTTTGGGAATGGGATGGGATACTTTTAACTGTGACAATACCAACGTAGTCAGTTGTTAAAAGGGAAAAAAAAGACTTCAATGTTACAGCAAATTCAAGGTTTGCCAGATTCTTAACAGTATGTTATATCCATATAAATATAACATCTTACGCATTGTGTTACAACAGAATGAGCCTGTACCTACTAAACCCATGCCTGCTATGCTTTGCTTGACTTAGTCTAGCCCCCCTTCCATTTATTTATGTGCTGGATGCATGAAACCAATTAACACCTTTGTGCCAGCTGATCATGCTACTGATAAATGTAAATCTGCTGCTGTACAACTTCAACCCCAAGGCTCTTCTTTGTAGATTATCAGTAATGAGAAGCAAGCCTGGTTGAGGTGAATGATGATTTGCTCAATCTGACTGTTGGGTAACTATCTCTCTTCACCCTCAACATTGCTGCCGGCATCCAGAATGAAGAGCGGTGCTAGCAAGGCCTGGGGGAATAACCAGGACGGTGTGGTGGCCAGCCAGCCTGCCCGTGTGGTGGATGAGCGTGAACAGATGGCCATCAGTGGAGGCTTCATCCGCAGGTAAGACCAGAGCCTGGAGATCCCAAAGTGGATTTAAATGTAATATATATGTAGTAACAACAACAACAACAACAACAACAACAACAACAACAACAACAACAAAAACAATAATAATAATAATAATGTAAACAATCGAACATGCTCGTAAAATAGGAAACTGACAGTCAAAGTGACAATACAGACATTTTAGGCTTAAAGGCACAGTGTGTAGGATTTGTTGTTTTCAGCTACATCTAGTGGTTGAGTGGTTCAATCATCCTCCCTGGTCCTCCCCCCACCCCCACCCCCCGCTTCCAAACACAAAGGAGTTGCTACGGTGTCTCTCAGG